GTCAGTGATGATAAACGCCTATATAGTAGAAATTGTACACAAAAACACAAGTGAATAGTACATTTTAATAGGACTTCAGAGTTAGATACAGTACATCAAAGAATTAATTTATCTACATCATACGGCTATTTCGTCCTTGTAGGCCTTGTAGGGGTGTTGCTGTAGCCTCATAATTCTGAATGTTACGTAATTTTCATATATACCTGATAATTTCAGAAAAAAATGCTAAATACATTGTGGCTGAATTACGCAGATAACAGCAAACCTCGAGAACTTAAAGTCAATGAGCCTTTTCTAAAATAGAGTGATCGTTTTTTAGCCAAACAAAACGTGTTATACCACAGCTTGATTCTCAGCGCTCTCGGTATTTTTATCATTTATTTCTATACAATAAATATTACAGCTACTGTGTATTAAAAAATGCAAGATTTTTCAGGCGGGAAGACACAAAATTACCCTGTGTATGTAGATATCAATTACTCCCAAATCTCATTCGTGCATACCTTTGTTCTTGTCGTTTTTTGTTGTTGATAATTATCAGTTTGTTAACAGAAAAAAAAACTTTGAAATCATAACTACGTGAAAGTATTTCTAGCGTTTTGTAAAAAAAAAAAAAAAAAACCCCCAAAAATGAGAAATACGGTATTTCACTTTGTTCGAAAAGCCATGTCTGCCTCTTTTGCAATACAAGATATGCAAAAATTCAGATTTGTTGAAATATTTCATTGATTTAAACATATTTTATTGCCACAGAATAACAAAGGGATAACAAAAAGACAATATTTTATTAGGGGTATTGGTCGGAGATTTAATTTCGTTCACAAAGATTCGCCTACATAAATGTCATAGATTCGATTCATACATTCTCGCTTGAAATTTCTGAACCGCTGTTTACAGAATCGACATCTTATCCGTAGAGCGAGGCTTGAACAAACAAAACTTATCATTTAAATACGACCCACTATTTGCATTCCATTACTAAGATTCTTCAAATCTCTCGGAGTATTACTTTAATAACTTTTTTTTATAACATTCCTGTGGTATATCATAATACAGTAAAGTCACACCTGGGTTTAATGCCTCGCAGTGCTGAAGCCGCTTATCACTATGTAACATGCGAAACTGCACCACATGCACTAAACATAATATCGTTTTATAATTAACACTTTACCATCAATCGAATGGTAGACATATTTCGTCTTTGATATGCACTGATGTGGTACATTAACAATTTAATTTACCTATTCAGTAGAAGTCATTCCGTTCATTTTCAAAGAATACATCTTCAGCCAAATACGGCAAGACAGTGACTTCCGATTATCACCGCGAATGGCGGGTATTTCCGGTGTCTGGAAGTTTTATCAGATTTATATCTAGCTATAAATATATTTTGTTAAGTCGTTATCACAGTCATTATTTCTGAATAATGTGGTTTAATCTATGATCAACGATACATTTTAAATCTGATTAAACTTTATGTACCTAAAAAATATGACAATGTTAAAACAGGTCACTGTTCACAAATACATACCACTAACAATATACATAGATATAAGATACATGCTGTGTATTTCAAGGCCGGATCTAATAATTGAGTTTACAAAAGTATTTATTGCCTGGGGGAAGCTTAGGGTCAAACTTCTTACCAGATTGATTTGCAAGGTGGACGACCACCAGTTGTATCAAATGTATTCGGAAACCCCCAGGACCAAGGTGTCGCCTAGCAATCCCTCATATTCACACGATAAAGCTATTTATTTTGAATATTAAAATGATCAAAGGTATATATTAACCGCAAGTTAGATTTATCTTAAAGGAAATAAAACTCGCCTCATCATCCCAAGTGTGTATAGAAATCACAGGTGTCATAATAGGTAATAATGACGAGGTAGCTTTACATCAAACAGCGTATCACCTACATTAGATGTTATCCAGGTCTACTGTCTTAGTCACATAAGTTCTTATTTCAATATATACTGACCCCTTGTAAAGTCACTCGGTACAAACACCATACATGGGATCTCTAACTTAGGGATCAGGCACAAACAATACATTACAGTGGTAACATGGGCCGTACAGTCCTTGAGTAACAGTTACAGTCGGTACGGTATTTATAGGTGAATAAACAGAGCATAGCCACCGCATAGCTTACGCCTACTAAAAATACAGCTTCCTTTTATTTGTTACGCTCGGAAGTGGTACAAATTATTTATACTTGTAGTATTTAATACCGCATCTCCTATTCTTAGCACCATTCAAAGGACTCTCCCTCATTTCAAACGTGTTGTCTTGGTAATAGACAGGAATGTAAAGTTATGCAGGATTACACCCGCAAACCCTGTAAATACCCTATATTGACTGGTTAGAAAAACAATTTTGGTGGTAAACATCGCCCACAGTTTAAAAAAAAAGATAGATTTTAGACCATAGATAAAAGTGGTAAATGTTTAAACAATGTACTGTTACCCACGCGTTAGATCTGAACGTAGCCAGACATCTCCCGGTGTCGTCAGTCATTGCTGATGTAATGTTGATAAAATGATATATACCACAACAACACTTCATTTTTTATAATTGATTTTAACACACTCATAATAATTACCTAGAAGATGGAGGAGTTTATTCCCAATATTACATATATCGGATCAAACGTCCAAATGATAATGGTTAAACTTTATAACATTTGCATATTATTATTATTATTATGTATAAAGTATAAACAGGGAAACTTTTTTTCTGTGAGAACAATATACGAATAATCTCGACTTTATTCCGTACCACCATCGTTGTAATACTTAATCTGAATCCCACCAGTATAGAACTCCTTGCAAGCTATCCTGGTGCACGATCCATGTGCAGCGAGCTGTCATAATTAATGCAAGGAACAGCACAAAACGGAAGAGAAGAAGAAAAATGTGTTTAAAAGAAGTTAATAAAGTAAATTAAATATCAACCTTCCTAACAGAAAAAGAAATTATGATTTATAGCCAAACGACGTGTAACAAGAATCAACTTCATGTCATGAGGTTTAATAGGCAACAACAGTTAACATATTTCTTCTGTGATTTACTTGGCTCACTGCCAAGTAATGAACAATGGTCTATCAGCTAACACTAACCCTATTTCTAATTCAACCTTACTCTAGATATAATTCATCTTAACCTTATAAATAATTTATCTTAAACCAAAATATTTTTCACTCTAACCTGAACCTTGAAGAGCTTATCAATTCAAGTCACAAAGACCTTCCAAAATCGTTTAATTTCACTTTCATATATACTGATGTCGTCTTGTCTTTGAATAACAAGACATTTATTGACCACGTCCGTCGCATATACCCACCAGATTTGGAAATCAAAGACATGACAAACTCTTCTCCATCAGTCGCTTACTTTGATCTTTTCATACGACACCTGCATGGACGACTTTCCATCAAACTGTATATGATGGATGCAGTTTCCCTATTGGGAATTTTCTTTCCTTTTCCGGATAGCAACATTCCTGCATCCCCGATTTATGGCGTTTTTGAGTCGGTAGTCAATGGCCTGTTTCCATTATCACAATTTTCGTGCAAAAAGTCGTTAACTGACAAACTCGTAACACAGGACTTGCAAAGAAGCAGGTTGATGAAAATTATGGGGAAGTTTAACGGTCGTTATATTAATCTCGCTGAGAAATACTCTAGTTCTTTGCACGATATGAAGTTGGACGCATCTGGTGTTCGTTAGTTTGCCTGTTGGCTCCGTTGTTGTACACCTTGTTCTCATTTGAGAACGTGACATTACTTACTTGGATATATGGCGGGTATCGTCGATAAAGCAAATGACACTCTCCCGGAACACCTGGTCTTATTCTCCTTGTACTTCTTTAGGAGTCTCAATATAAATTTTTCTTTTGCTCACATTTTGTCCTAGTGTAATTGACTTTGAGTGTGTGTTATGTTTATGTTGAAATGTTGGTAATTCCATGTTGTTTTTTTCTTATATATGATTCACTTTAACCCTATATATAAATTGTTCTTAACCCCTATACAGAATAGAAATTTACCTAAACGCTAAATGTAATCCTAACCCTATATATTATTCAACCTTACATTCTACATAACTTTAATCTTAACCCTATATATCATTCACCCTTACATTCTACATAACTTTAATCTTAACCCTATATATCATTCACCCTTACATTCTTCATAAATTGAATCCTAACCCTATATATTATTCATCCTTACCTTTTTATATAAATTTCACTCTAACCCTATATATAACCATACACACGATTCATCCTAACCTTATATATAACGCACTTTAACCTAGCCGCCCAGGGTTCGATTCCCGGAACGGACGTGAAATGGTAGGGGGTCACCTGCCCGACCATGGGGTTCTTCCCGGGTACTAAGGTTTCCTCCCACAATAAGACATCACGCGCACATCCATCTGGACCAACATGACTTATCATTATAAATTGAAATAACTTGTTTCATAATTATTGTAAAATAGATAAATAAATTTATTCAACCTTATTAATACAAGCCACCGTAATTTTATATATAATTCAACCTCAACCTAAGTATAAATTTATCTAACCTAATAAACTGAATATAAGTGTACCCTAATCCTGTCTATCCTAATTTTAATTATAAGATTTAAAAACATAGAATTATGTTTAAATTACACCTTCTGCCAAAGATAAAGAATATATGACGGAAAAATTGATGGTCATACTTTTTTAAAACTATGAATGTATTAAAATAGTTTTGCATACAACCAAGTTTCTCACAAAACGTATATGACCTCCACTGAGGCGCATGCCAAGTACATATTACACAGGACAGGATCACTCGAGCGAATAAAGCACCACGCGACGAATGAATAACTCCGATTGAATACTTATACCACTCCTATGTGCCTTCTAACCTTATAAAAATGGTACTACAAGTTGTTTAAGTCATACAGCCAGTAGCATCACGAGAAGTGAGTCTCCACACTATAAAACTGACTATGGACAAATTACTACTAATTCTTATATTACTGGTGTTACTGGGCGCGACAAAGGCAGATGACTGTAGTAAGTAATCTGTGTATATAAATAAAGTTGATAGGTTACACTCTACATCCTGGAGCTGTACCAATCGTCTCGGTTGAATACAATACAACATTTACATGTGTGTGTGGTGTTTGTGTATGATTAAGTTTACTCTCTATAATCAACATGACGTTTTTTTTAATTACTTTTTTCACGTACCATATGAACATGTAAAATATTTTCTTTAACGATATCGACATATTTCGTACTTGAAGGGTCGATGAGAATGAAGTGTAGGTCATTGTATATACATGACATAATCTATCGATCGAATTAATGTATTTGTTTTACTTTCAGATAACGTGGACCTTGACTTCAGCGAGTTGACAGATCTGTTTCAAACCAGAAGAAACGATCGATTTTTGTTACGCAATTTACCCAGAGTGTTGGAAAAGGTACGTTTTTTTCTAGTATAGCTGATGAAACCTTTCTTCACAATAATTGTATCAGAAACATCTAGCCTCATTAGAGCATACCAAGACGTCTTGAATACGATACAAATCTACAAATTAAATAAATTCTTTAATATTTATGAATTGTAATAGTTTTTTGTTCCTACTCAGACTTAATATCTCACCGTCGGGTTTGTGATATTTGTCTCTGTTAGTTTTTTTTATTGTTTTCCACTGTCTAAACGATTCAGGCCACTTAACATCATTGGCGACGAAAGCTACAAAATACTGTATCTTCTTATTCCAAATTTGTAACGAGAGATGTGTTTGTATTTAACTGTGTTAGATCGGTAAAATGTTGGTCACCATAAGGTGCGTGGCTCGACGCTCCCTTTTCGTTTTGTGTTTCTAAGGAAACTGATAAACGAAACGGTCTGTGCTGTGGTGTTTGTGACATTGGACACTTTACCGTATTTCCTCAGTATAGATGTGACGGACATCCTGTATGTTGTTCAGTGAGGTTGCCACCAACTTTCATAAGGATACACCGCCTCAAAATGACCCCAGTTATTTAGCAAATAAGTCTATTTTACATTAGAAATGTATCATAAATTGCATGTTTCTGTGTAAATCTTACGTTCTGTCGTCTAATTTTCTTTCACAAACTTTAAGCATAGTTTCTTGTAAACTTTAAATCTTTAAATACTACACTATAAACGTTTAACATGTACACTGTATGCTTTATTCAAAATTCTAAAACGATGGTGTCATATAAATGATACCACAAACATCTCCTTCAATTGAGCTCGGATTTAGATCTGTATAATTGTTAGGCTCAAATCCATTTGTTAGAACACAGTACGCTGTATTTAAAACTATAAGACAGACAAAATATATGTTTACAAACCGCACACTACCTGAATCACATCGCTCAATTCAATTCATTTTGTTTTCGTTCATTGTTATTTCAAGATGCATTTTGTGTCGTTTTTAAAAAAAAAAAAAAAACGCGTCCTGTTCAACAACATGCAACTGATTGTAGTAGATTCTTATCGTTATTATTATCGTTATTTTTATTCCTTCAGACATCTGGTATTAAACTAGAATATTAGATAACAAATATATCTACAAAATTAACATCTGTGATAACTCGTTCCTTCAGGTCATTAGACTGTAATGTTTAATAACAGTGTTTTTACAGATACAGTGTTAAGGCTGTAATGTTTAATAACAGTGTTTTTACAGATACAGTGTTAAGGCTGTAATGTTTAATAACAGTGTTTTTACAGATACAGTGTTAAGGCTGTAATGTTTAATAACAGTGTTATACAGATACAGTGTTAAGGCTGTAATGTTTAATAACAGTGTTATACAGATACAATGTTCAGGCTGTAATGTTTAATAACAGTGTTATACAGATACAGTGTTAAGGCTGTAATGTTTAATAACAGTGTTATACAGATACAATGTTAAGGCTGTAATGTTTAATAACAGTGTTATACAGATACAGTATAAAGGCTGTAATGTTTAATAACATTATTTTTACAGATACAGTGTTAAGGCTGTAATGTTTAATAACAGTGTTTTTACAGATACAATGTTCAGGCTGTAATGTTTAATAACAGTGTTATACAGATACAATGTTGAGGCTGTAATGTTTAATAACAGTGTTATACAGATACAGTATAAAGGCTGTAATGTTTAATAACATTATTTTTACAGATACAGTGTTAAGGCTGTAATGTTTAATAACATTATTTTTACAGATACAGTGTTTAGACCTAAAGTTGAACTATCTTGTTGAGGAGGTAGAATCCATGCAGAGAAACCGAAGGTCATCGAACCATCAGTTACCAAAGATGACAAGTACAAGGAAAGTTATACACAGGAGGTCACGACATTGACCCTGATTTTATTATACATGTATGGATGACCAAGGTCTAGTTTTTAATGTATTGATGTCCGGAGCTAGTGGTATGCAGGTGTGATGAACCCACTATGGTGCGAGGGCAAGGTCAGCAAAAAATGCTCTTCTACAGAAACAGTGTTAGAAGTGATGTCCTTCTACAGAAACAGTGTTAGCGGTGATGTCCTTCTACAGAAGCAGTGTTAGCGGTGATGTTTTTCTACAGAAGCAGTGTTAGCGGTGATGTTCTTCTACAGAAGCAGTGTTAGCAGTGATGTTCTTCCACAGAAGCAGTGTTAGCAGTGATGTTCTTCTACTGAAGCTGTGTTAGCGGTGATGTGTGTATAATTGTGATACCTGCTACCGAAGCAGTGTTAGCGGTGATGTGTGTATATTTGTAATGCCTGCTACTGAAGCAGTGTTAGCGGTGATGTATATTTGTGATACCTGCTACTGAAGCAGTGTTAGCGGTGATGTGTGTATATTAGTGGTACCTGCTACTGAAGCAGTGTTAGCGTGATGTATATTTGTGATGCCTGCCACTGAAGCAGTGCTAGCGGTGATGTGTGTATATTTGTGATGCCTGCTACTGAAGCAGTGTTAGCGTGATGTATATTTGTGATACCTGCTACTGAAGCAGTGTTAGGGGTGATTTGTGTATATATGTGATGCCTGCTACAGAAGCAGTGTTAGCGGTGATGTGTGTATATTTTTGATGTCTGCTACTGAAGCAGTGTTAGCGGTGATGTGTGTATATTTGTGATACCTGTTACTGAAGCAGTGTTAGCGGTGATGTGTGTATATTTTTGATGTCTGCTACTGAAGCAGTGTTAGCGGTGATGTGTGTATATTTGTGATACCTGTTACTGAAGCAGTGTTAGCGGTGATGTGTGTATATTTTTGATGTCTGCTACTGAAGCAGTGTTAGCGGTGATGTGTGTATATTTGTGGTTACTGCTACTGAAGCAGTGTTAGCGGTGATGTGTGTATATTTGTGATGCCTGCTACTGAAGCAGTGTTAGCGGTGATGTGTGTATATTTGTGATATTTGCTATTGAAGCAGTGTTAGCGGTGATGTGTGTATATTTGTGTTTACTGCTACTGAAGCAGTGTTAGCGGTGATGTGTGTATATTTGTGATACCTGTTACTGAAGCAGTGTTAGCGGTGATGTGTGTATATTTGTGGTTACTGCTACTGAAGCAGTGTTAGCGGTGATGTGTGTATATTAGTAATATTTGCTATTGAAGCAGTGTTAGCGGTGATGTGTGTATATTTGTGATGCCTGCTACTGAAGCAGTGTTAGCGGTGATGTGTGTATATTTGTGATGCCTGCTACTGAAGCAGTGTTAGCGGTGATGTGTGTATATTAGTAATATTTGCTATTGAAGCAGTGTTAGCGGTGATGTGTGTATATTAGTAATATTTGCTATTGAAGCAGTGTTAGCGGTGATGTGTGTATATTTGTAATGCCTGCTACTAAAGCAGTGTTAGCGTGATGTATATTTGTGATGCCTGCCACTGAAGCAGTGTTAGCGGTGATGTGTGTATATTTGTGATGCCTGCTACTGAAGCAGTGTTAGCGTGATGTATATTTGTGATACCTGCTACTGAAGCAGTGTTAGCGGTGATGTGTGTATATTTGTGATGCCTGCTACTGAAGCAGTGTTAGCGGTGATGCGTGTATATTTGTGATACCTGTTACTGAGCTATTTAATAACACAGTGTTTATATAGGTATATATGATACTTATGTTGATCGTTAGTGTCCTAATTTATTGTGTATGTGTGGAAAGGAATAATTGTTAAGGCATCAATCATTTTGTGCCTCTGCAATAATTTTATACATCAATTGAACTTGAACAAAATAATTTATTTTTTTACATAATTTATACATAAATATGTTTTCAATAAATTGTTTTACATTTCTAAATGAAAATCGTTCTTCTTTAGGTATTTAAACATTTATAAGGTAGGTAGTCTGCTTATTAATTTCATACCAACCAAACATTATCTATCAGAGGTGTTTGATTCCACCCTAATCAGGCGATTTGGGTTTTACTTGAGATAACGCATATTTGGTTGGGCAGTGGACAAGGGACTTAACATCGAACTAAACTGTTTTGATAACTTATGGCAGGCATCTGAAAACGGAAGACACCAGCGACAACAGGATACATTGCATTAAAATGACAATGATTGTTCAAATTGCGATAAAAGCAAGAAAACAAACAATTCACTGTCATCACATTGATGGCCATTTGCCCCAAAACATAACTTATTGTAATAAAGTATATTTGGTGCAGTCAATACGTAACCATATTTTTGAAAGATGCAGGTTGATGAAAATTATGGGGTAGTTTTATGGTCGCCATAGTGATCTCATTGAGAAATATATTATTTCTTTGTGTGCTATGAAGCTGGACGTATTTGATGCTCATAAGTTTGCCTGTTGGTTCCGTTGATATAACTTATTTTCATTTTAGAACGTGACATTACTTACTTGGATTGACAAAGGTTTACATGGATGTTCTAGATGAAGCAGGAGATGCTTACTCTTCCCGAACACCTGGTCTTATTCTCTTGGTAGTTTTCAAAAGTTTTCGTATAAATCTTTCTTTTGTTCGTATTTTGCCCTAGTTTTTATGACATTTGGATCATGGTTATGTTGTCAAGCAAGTATTTTATTGATGCTATAACAACAGTCTCATCCATTAAGATAAAGTGAGACCAACAATGGAAACACATTGAGACAAGGAAACATCTGAGGTTGAAACAAGTTAGCCGACATCAAGAAAATAGATAAAAGACTTAACATTTTACAAATGTCTTAGGTTATGAATTATTAAGCTTAGATCTCTTCTTTAATCTTTTGAACTATATATGCATTTCATCAAAATACAGCAATTTCATCTACTAAGACAGATTTTGCTTGAACAATTGTCCATCTAGTGAATATGAGATCTCTAGATCTTTCCAGCATCTTTTTCAGTTTTATCACCCGTTGCAGAATTATGGTTGCCAACGTTTGGTCGCATCACATAAAACACTTACTATACTAATGATATAACTATCTTTTATTGAATCCGGGTTGTATATTTAGACATTGTCTAGTTTAAACGTGTCTCTGAATCAATATTTTAAAAAATTAAGATAGCAGTATAACAATGAAGTAGATATAGCATCAATAGTGAAAGTGAAAATTTAGCAATTCTTAAATACATAATTAGATAGCAACACATATAACACACATCTTACTAACTGACATAGTTAAATCACTGTTATAGTCGAATATCCATGCACTACTTATAAAGCACAGGATAGAAATTGACAGGATATATACAAATATATTGGGTATTGAAATGAGTCGGCGTGTAAAAAATAGTTTAGGAAAGAAAATCAGCAAATGGCATTTGTCTTTAAGTAGATACAAATTGTAGGAAACTATACATCTGTATTTAAATATTGATATAGGGGAGGTAATCACATATAAAGCTGTAATTCAAAGTGACTCAGTAGATTGAAAATCATAATAGAAATGAAATTAAAACTGAAGACTTGTTGTAATATATATATATATTTATAGAAGAAGTTAGAACACTGGAAAACACATGATGTAAAACATAAGCCCTTTCATTTCTTCTTAAGATGCTTTACATATTTACATAGATACGGATTCTATGTAAAAGTGCTTTCCAGTGTTCAAACTTTTTTCTATATTTACTTGGCACGGATAATTCACCACATTATATATATACATAAGTGTATGTAAGTCAGGTATATATATATATATATATGAATAGACGGGCGTGCTCTTTTCTGTAATTAAAAACCCTATCTATTTATAATTTGTTGCTAGGTTCTCTCCAGACAGTTGAACAGTATATAAAATGAGGAAAAAATATTGTTGTGTACGTTTGTATACAGTGATTTATAATTTGATAAACTTTAAGGCTAAATTTGATACACCATATGCATTGAGTATATGTAAAACATTATGGTTAACAGTGTGAACAGCCTCACGAAGGCCAATGAAACAACACCAATAAAATAACCCATTTATCTAAAACACAGTGAATGGTTAGGTCGAAACTCAAATTAGTTGTCGCTAAGAAGTTTACTTGAGGTAAAGAAATCATAAAAAGTTTTATGTACCTTTTTAAAATATTTTACTTAGACCTACTTGTACAGAGATTGATCTATAATTGTTCACAGGTGTAAGGTTACCCACTTTAAAAACCTAAGAGATTTTTGCTCTTTTCCATTCTGAGTGAAAGACACCTTTGTATATTGACACATTGAATATGAAAGATAAGAGGAGATACCATAGCTTTCTAGGACAGATAGATAAACTATCTTAACCTGTAGCTTTGCCATTAAGCACGTGTTTAAATTAATGACGTACAAAATCTGCTGTAATGCATGGAATGATATATGGCATCTCCGAATCCAAGCTGTTCATGTCCGGAAGACAGACAATATTTACCATTATCTGTAGCAAGATTACAGAAGAAATCATCGAAATCATTAACTACTTTATTATCTAATAGAGTTCCATCAACATTTAGGCAGAAATTCTTCTTTATTCTATTTCCAAATTTCTTTTGAATTTTGAGAGCATTGACTGTCTCCTCTAAATAATTTTACTTGTCTAATCTTCCAAAGCACTCGATTTTCTACAGCCCCTGATGATCATTCAATCAGACTGAAACTTAGATTTTCTAGCTTAGTCACGATTGTGCATCTCATTTAATAGATCGTCATTGATCAAGTGTTTTAGTCTGCCTTGACCCATTTTACATTAAACATGCTTTGTCACTTAAAAAAGTCTTTAAAAGAGGTCCAAACCTTCAAGAGAGCTCCATTGGATCTGATCTATATCAGCAGCTAGGATCTCCAGGTTGACGTCCGTAATTTTTCTGTATTCAATAGTCGTGTGGGCATTGGGAGCAAATCCTCTTAACTTTCCTATAGTATACACCATTGCTAGTCACTTATTCC